GAGAGGGCGATTTTCTACAAACCACTGAAAGGAAGTGAAGCTCACGCCACACCTGACAGATTTAAAGGAACAGTTCACCCAAAAATTAAAATAGCCATCCAAGATGTAGAGGAGTTTGTTTCCCCACTGGTACACATATGGAGAAATGTAGCATTACATCACTAGCTCACCAATGGATCCTCTGAAGTGAATGGGTGCCAATAGAATAAGAGTTCAAACAGCTGATAATAACATCAGTCCAGGCAATGGTATATGAATGAATTAATGAATGAATGATGCATTTATATAGCATTTTATTGTGTATTGTTGTACACCCAAAGCACTTTACAATCATGTGGGGGGTCTCTCCTCAACCACAACCAGTGTGCAGCATCCACTTGGATGATGCGACGGCAGCCACAGTACAACGGCGCCAGTGCGCTCACCACACACCAGCTACAGGTGGAGAGGAGAGAGAGTCATAGAGCCAATCAAGTGGATGGGGATTATTAGGAGGCCCCTATGGTTTTAGTCGGAAGCAAAGGTTTGAAGTTAAAATTACTTTTTAAGCTATGCTTAATTCATCATGTACTGTTTCCATTGTTTATTACCACAGGAACTGAGAGTGGCACACTTCTCTCTTTCTGTCTCTCTAGAAGTAGAAGTCCAGATTTGGGATCTGCATTAACATTTTCCACTAGGGGCCGAGGAGTTTTGTTTTGTAAATGACTGACTGATTGACTGACTGACTACTCAGGTAAACACCAAAGTAACCAGAAATCATTCACTGTCAGTGAGAGCTGGCTGTAGTAAATGAGCTGCGGTCCAGGGGATCTTACAGTAGATCGGACCGAAAGGGCACTTTAGCGTTGACATTAGACTAAAGCTCACGCTGCGAGGTTTCTCTGAATAACAGCGCATGTACAGTACAGCCGGCTGATGAAAGCTCTGTAAACTGGGTCTGTATTAAAGGTGTTTAATTGTGTATGAACTGATTTTGAGGAATGCACATTTGGAATTGCTCAAAGATCTGGTGAGAGCGCGCAACATATGGGGTTGCATGGAGTCAGGGCTGAAGCTGGAAATTGCGAGGCCCCGGTGCAGGCTGTACCTGTGGGCCCTCCTTTGAAATTGTGCAAACAGCACAAATGAATAAATAGAACATAGATACAAATTAAACAATGTTTTTTCAAGTTTGTAGGTGTCCAGGTACAGAAACCGAAAAATCAAATGTAAAATATCATTGAATAGTTTTCTCTGTATAAATTAAATACAGATTAATTCTTGTTAAAACTACAAAGTAATTCAGCTAAGAGCAGTGAATGATTTTCTCTTTTATTTTCTTTGATTAACATTAAGGACACCGACAGCAACTAGTAAATTAGGAGCGATCACTTTAAGAGACAATTAATGCATCCAATATAATGATACACATCCAATTTGAAATGAAATCTGATAAAATAATATCTATCAGTAATAATATTAGAAATAATAATGAAACAGACTTGGATCTTACGTTCTCATGAAGCTTTATTTTTTTTCTGACAACACGAAATGAGTAAAGAACACTTGTGTTAAAGCTGTGTAAATGCAACAAAACCGCAAAAGAAAAACAATTTACATTGTTATTGTCACAAAAAAAGAATCAATGACATTGTCTACAAAACAACTGCAAGTTTTCATTAATTACAATATTTTATATTATTAAATTATACAGATTATCTGTATGGTATATAACCTTTTATTAATTTGTTGCACTATTTTTGTGTGCCAAAAAATAACAGCACAGAATTTTAAGAACTTTATCAAAAGTTAATCACATTTATCTTATACTCCAGATCAGTTACAATCTTACATTTAATACTGGATTTATGAGTTCACTTATCAACCCGTCTACTCACTGATATTTAAAGCGTATTGAAACAGCATGAGATAGTACAGTTTCATTTGGTGTCAAATCACATGAGTCAGGCTGATTAATATGTCCTCTGGAAGCACTGATTTGAAACAAAAGATTCATATGCAGTGTTTCTTGCCAATTACTAGGCCCTAAATCCCTCTCCAAATAAATACTTAGTAAACATAAAATGTGTTATGATTATGTGGAATTATGTGGAATTTTCACTTTCAGTGTCGACAGATACTGGAAACTTTTTGTGTAATGTATGGACAGAACATGTGTATGGCATCATGGTCATAATTATAAGTGGGTTTGCACGTTCCAGTTTTGCATGTCTCCTTTTTGCATTCCTCTGTTTTGCATTTCCCTGTCTTTCACATTTCAAACTTGTCATGTTCAATGAAGTTTGGGGACTAAACAACATTTGGATTTTAAACTTTGACATATTTTGTCTTTTCCAGGAGTTTTCTTTATGTTTATGTTCTTTAAGTTTCCATATGGTTTTGAGATTGCACCTGAGGAAAAGGACTACATGAAACTGAATACAAATTCAACCTAAACAAACAATATTTCCACTTTGAAGTCAACTGAAGAATCAAGAAGGATGTATTCCATCTTCACCAAGCGAGCACAGTTATTCATCAAAGGTGTGTAAAAGATTTGTTGCACTGTAGTCAATTTATTCAGTCATATTCAGTGATATAGTCACTGAACTACAGACAGGAAAACTGACACAAAACTACAGGCAGGAAAAACTAACCAGGGAAGACCAGCGTGGATTCTGTGAGCAGTCGTGTTTTTAATAAGTGATTCTAAATTGTAGAACATTTGACTATTAGCCAATATTGTACAATAATTCAATAAAATATGATAAAATATATTTTGGAGTAGTAAGAGGCAGTTTCATTTTGGGAAGATCAAAAAGTGGGTAAATCACTACAAACAACAATAGGCTGTTAATGGAAAATCAAATTATATTTCTAGCCAGCCAAAATAGAATACTTCCGTCTTAGCCACCTGAAAAACCTCACATCCGTCCACGAGCGAGCCGATGCCATTTTGACTCAGCAACGTGGATCGTTCTTGACAACTTGTCGTTAGTTACAATTAAAAAACTGTTTTCATTTTTGAAATTCAAGTGCAAGTTCAAGTGCCACGTTTACAATCAAGTGCTTCATATGAAAAAACGAAAAACAATGGGACAAAGGTATGTTTCTGTGAATTGAGACAAAATTTGAGATCGCCAATGCCATGTGCTATATCGTTAGGGTAGCATGAAAGCTAACAGTAACCATGTTAGTAAAAATATCATTTATTTCTCATTAGGTAGCATGAATTATATTCATTACAGATAAGTATTAATATCCATTGTCATAAACTGGTACAACATTTTTTTGAAACCCGATTGGTTAGAAGGCTTGACTGTAGTTTGGTTGTTCGGTCGAGCTTTACAGTAGCTGGTAGAGAGAGAATATACTAATTAGGTGTGTGGATCAAATTAATTGTTTTTTTTTTTGCCATTTTTCCTAGTGTATACTGTTATTATAAATTAATAATAATAATTATTATTATTTTAAATTATTTCTGTACAAAAGTAAAAAGAATGATAATTCTAGACAAGACATCCTAACAACATTTTGTGCTGTAACTGAAAATAAGCTGCTATTTATCACATTTTAATTAAAATACAAAGAGATATACAGTGTTTAGAATGACATAGACTTTCTTGAATGACAGGAAGAACATGATTCACAGTGTCGACTAGAGAGGTAGATCCAGTTGCTTTGCAATAAGTGTGAATATAGCTGAGATATGGGGGCTAAAAGTAGGTTAGCAAACTGTTGATGTCTTTTTATCTTCTCTTTCTACAGTTGGTGCATAATCATCATCATCTCTGTGTTTCTGCTGTATATCACAGGTGAGATTTTAAACATTTTAAATGAAACTTCATGTCACATGCAGAATGATGAACGGTGTGTTTGCTGTTTTTAGGTGCTTCCTCTGCTCCTGTGAGGGTAAAAGTTGAGGGTTTTGTTGGAGACTCGGCTATCTTGTCTTGTTCGATCACTGAAAGTGAGATTCTAGACAAAATAGAAGAATTCAATGTACACTTCAGAGACGATGAAGGCAAGAAAGTGTGTGACATCATTGGAGGCAGCATAGCTGAAGACCAAGAGCCAAAGTACAAGGACAGAGTCGAAACGTTCCCAGAGGAGTATAAGAAGGGCAACTTCTCCATCAAACTCAGCAGTCTTCAACAAACTGATGCAAGGAAGTACCACTGTTTCATCACAAGGGACACATCACACGACACATTTCAGAAAGAGGTCATCACAGAGCTTCATGTCAGAGGTGTGTATAATCTGAGTTTCATTGACAACATTGTTAGTGATTGATCAAACTAATGTTACTAACTTTGCCTTTGTTGTTTTGTAACAGATAGACCAGGAGGAAGAGGCAACCACGGAGGACTAAATGGAGAACTACCATCAATTGTCTTCTTTATAGTCAGATTTTTCTTAGCTGGAATACTGTTTTTTATGTTTGTAGCAATCACTTTTTGTGTAGCAAGGGTCGTATTCAGTTACTAGGGTATTGGGGGGGGGGCATCAGACACAGTGTCGGAAGCATTTTTACTCCGTTACAGTACTTCAGTACATTTTTCAAACTGAAAAAAACCCCAACAACTTCATTCTTTGATATTTCAACCAAAACATGAAGACATGAAGAACCCAAGCACAGTATAATATTAGGAAACTTGACTTTATTAGATGATTAAAATGGTCAGGAAATAACGATCATCACATGCAATGACAAATGAAACATAATAGCTATATATACACACACACACAAGTTAACTACAAGAGACTTTTAACATACATGAACAACAATATAAAAGTCTGACTATCTAAATTCATGAAAACTAAACAAATTGTTACAACAATTGTCCTTTAATCCATTTTAGGGGGAAAAAAATCTAATTTTCATAATCCCTATCCAAACAACATTTGTAAAAACTAAATCTAAATTTACTAAAACCACTCAGCTCACTCACATCCATCCATTTCCTCCAGTTTGACCCATTAATTTCATCACAATTTTCAGACAAATAAGTGTTAAATAAGGGTGATATACTGCCACCTGTAACAAAGGGGCAGTGGCGTTAGGATCCATGTGCAGCTTTATTGGTTCACAAAGCAGGTCATACAGGCATAGATTGGTAACTGGTGTTAGACACAACGAAGGCTGAGCAGAATCGTAAACAGTGTTTGTGATCAGGATTGAGGCAGGCGGCAGACAAACAAGAGCATGAATCAACAAGGCAGGCAGGGTCAGAAGAGGTAGGCAGCAAGCAATCGTAAACGGGTAAACAGTCCAGGTAATCAACAGATAATCAACACAGGGAAACCGCTCAGAAATGTCTGCAAGGCAAAACAAGACTTCGCAATGAGAGCAGGGAAGGCACAGTTTAAATAGACCGGGCAATAGGAAACACCTGTGCAGGTGATTAGTCTCTGGCATGGGGCATTGTGGGAATTGGAGTCCGAAAGGATCGCTCAGTACTCCAGTGATGTTCCCTCTGGTGGTGATCGGAGGGAGCCACAGAGGCTGAATTTGTGGCACCACCCTTCACAAGACTTTACACAATTATTATTATTTATTTATTTATTTTTGCCTCCTGTATTCATTTATTTGTAAAACTATAAACTCATCTTTCAGTTGAAACCACAGTTGACCACTGTTACAAAAACACTTGAATTAAATTAAAATAAATTAAGATTCATATACATTCATTCGTATTAATCATGGCCCAATTTTGCATAAACAGTGTTTGTAATTGGATGTCAGTATCATGTTTGCCGTTAACAGTGTATTGTCAACCATGTTAATAAATGGATAAATATACATCAAAGCGTCATTTTATTGGTGTTGCATTTAAGTAGAAAAATACTGTGATTAATTTGATTTTGAAAAAATCAGCACAATCGCCCACCACTGATTGATGCAAACATATGTGACTGTGGGACCACAAAGAGCCCTACTTGATTAACTGCAGACTATACCAGAATTAAAGCTTAGAGACAGAATTAAATTACACCGCGACACAAGTTTGTACGTGACATACAAATTAACGAATAAACATTTATAACCGATCTCAGGCCAATTTATAATAATAATAATAATAGTCTCTAAATCTGGTCAGTATAATTCACCACCGTATGATTCTGCTCAACATACTTCACCACAGTGTGATTCTGGCACTCAGGTAATTTAGTTGGTTCTGTAAAATAAATAGCCATACATTGAAAGCACTGAATATTTATATGGCCTGATTATTAAATGCTCACTCACCAGTGATGTGAAGTCTGGTGCCGTTGCTGAATTTTGGAGGTGCCTCTGTGGTCATGCAGTAATAAACGCCTAACTCATCAGTAGTGACATTTATGGATAGATGATGTTTAGGTTGCACTGAATATTTGGGTCTGAAACTTGCATCATATTATTAAAAAGGAGTTGAAGTTGAAAATAACCGCAATGTCATAACTGGACGATTTGGTAGTTTTAGTAGCATCCAATAAATCTCTTTTTCATCCAAATGGCAGCTTTTTGTCCTAAATTTGTTAGTTCTGTTAACATTTTTACAGTGATGGATGGACAAACATGCGTTTTAAAAAAACAGGACTCTTAGGAAACATTATACTGTATACTTCATCAGTAGATACATTTCCAGAATTAATTTATCATTATTTTTTTCAATGAATGTCCAGAGGAAACGAGATGAATGAAACTGATATTTGTGAATTGTCAGATTAGCGTTTGTTTTGAAAATTACATGAATCACAAACTTCAAAATTTTGACATTTGGTTACACCACTCAGCAGTTTGATGTAGAAAAAGCAATATGCTGACTTTATCTGTCACGGTTGCACTACTAAGTGGAGTGCGGAGCAAGGAACGGAGGGAGACGAGGACTACATCAATCCATCATCCAAACTTGAATTTGACAGGGGACTGGAGCCCTCCCTGGGCTCAACGGGGGATCCGGAGCACTCCCTGGGCTAGACTCGGGAAGCTAGGATGAAGGCAGAGAACAGTCCTTTTCTCTTCGTCCTCCTCCTTTGGTTACGGGGGAACTGGGCAGCCGGTGGGCTTGTCGTTGCGGTGACCAGCGGGCTTGCGTCAATGGTGGCCTTTGCAGCGGTAGGCCTATCTTCAGAGCGGCCGGTGGGCTTGACATCGGAATGGCCGGCGGGCAGGAGAGAGCCAACACTGGCGGGCTTGACTGGGGAGCAGCCGGCCGTACTGGGCTGACGACTAGGGTGGAGCTTCGGAGGACAGCGGGGAATTTGGGGTTGGGCAGGTGGTAGGAGCCGTTGGAGTGGTATGTGGAGGTTCTCGGCGTGGTGTGAGCTGGGGAGACACGGCACGTTCCAGTGGGAGTTGGATGACGAGGCTTGGGAAGTTTCTTTAATTCTTCCACTTCTAAATCAGAACCATTTAAGAACAGCACGAGATTAATCAACTCGATCAGGGGAAAAAAAAATAAAAAAAATTCACACATCGGAAGATCGCAGCGGATTATCTCGTCATCCAACCCCAGCAGGAAGCACGCACCTAGAGCGGCGTCGTGCCAGCTCACCCGGTTAGAGAGCTCGAGAAAACCCTCCACATATCGCTCCAACCTCAGACCTCCCTGCCGCAAACTCCACAGTGCATCCTCAGCTGCAGCCATCTTTTTTCTTGGTCCGGTATTCTGTCACGGTTGCACTACTAAGTGGAGTGCGGAGCAAGGTACGGCGAGAGGCGAGGAGTACATCAATCCAGAGAACATTAATTATAACAAGGAAAACTCACATAGCACATGAAGACATAAACAATACCAAACACTGAACTAAAAACAGGGAACACTATTTAAACACATGACAAGACGAGGGGATGACGAGACACACCTGGGATCAATGGAAATAAATGGGGAACACCTGGAATTGAATCAACATAATCAGGACAGGAACAGGAAACTAACCAAATATGGGCAAGGAGGGCACATGGGGAGCAAAACACGGAACAAAGTCTGACATTATCAGTAAAAAAAAAATTACATATACTGGAAATGTTCTCATAGGACATTGTCCAGTAATTATAATTCCAGTAACTTTTTTTTGCCTTTCACTGTTTTCTTTTTTCTCTGTCTTTTACATTTTACAATATTAAATTCCATGCCAAGTTTAAGGCACTTTTGGAGACTGAACTATAAGTGGATTTCAAGCTTTGACTCAATTTTGTCCCACTCCTCTTGTCCAGGATTTACAGAAGTCCTTGAGTTTCTATATTGTTTTAAAGATCTTTCCGTCAGAGGTAGCCTATGTTTTTTTTTTTTTTTTCATTTCTCTGCCTTATTCTTGGAATATAGTTTTAAAAACAATGTCAATGATATATCATAAAGTACCCAATAAACTGGTATTTAAAAATCAAGTATAGTATATAATGTACTGTATGTAGAATGGTGACTTGGAATGTCACAGGTGGATTCTGCTCCTCCCAACAACAAGATAAATTCTTTGTGTTTTCTCATCAGCTGTACAGTCTGTCAAAACTCTGACAGGAACACATGAAAAAAGAGAAAGAAGCAGGACACTAAAAAAGTGAATTACCTCAAGGTAAGCTCTAGATCTCACAGTTGTTATCAGAATTGTTATTTTGTTTAGTAGGAAGAGAGCAGTGAGTTATTTAGCATATTCTTTTTTGTATTTCTGTTGCTGTCATCGGTGTTTATGCTGGAAATAAATGTTTTGAAGGCAAACTGTAAAATAAATAAATAATAAACAAACAAATAAATAAATAGTATCAAAAGTTCTGTGTAAATCTTTATTTTATTTAATTTTCTCTTCATTATTTGCAGATCACTATGAGGAACTTAAAGAACAAGACTGAACGCTCCCATAATGGAATCTTAAAAATGGAATTCCTATGATGCGTTCTTCAAAAACAAAAAATGTGGTAATGCAAGGCAAGATTTTGCCTGAGGGCCAAATCAGGACCAAGAATGGTGTGTTTCATCTTCACCAGTCGAGCCAGTTTTTCATCAAAGGTGTGTAAACATCGGCAAAGTGTTAGTTGTACTGTATTACATTTATTCAGTCTGAAAACTGGTGGGTTGATTCTGTGAGCAGTGATATTGATAGGTTATTCTGCCTCGTTTGTAACATTTGATTAGCCAATATTGTATAGTAATTAAATAAAATATCATAAAAATATTTTTGAATAGTATAAAAAAACAACAACAAACAGTTTCTGTAAGTGTCCTCTCAAATGCCTTTTGGAAAGCATTGTGCCGATCAAAAAGTACATAATATATATATATATATATATATATATATAAACAATAGGTTATTAACGGTAAACCAGATAAAAGTTAGCTGATACTTGCGTCTCTAGCTACCTGTAAAACGTCATATCCGTACACATGAGCTTGAGCATCCGGCTTCA